TGGCTTGCAACACACACTATAGGAAGAAACTCTGAACACAGCAGTAAGGTTCACAGCTCAGACCCAAGCATCCTATCCCCCACATGGCATTGGGAGCCTTTCTGTACTCCCACTTCTGGGTACTGCAGATGTGTTACATATGTTCTACCCCACAGCACAGATTCCATGCTGAGAACTGTTCACTTCTAAGAGTGCTGACACAACAGAATGGAGAGATTCTGTATACCAAACAGAATTTTTAAACAAATTCACTTCATTTACTAATACTCTACTGAACAGGAGTTGGAGCCGCTAAAACTATGACACCTTCCAACACCCACTGGCCACAAAGTTTGCATGCCAGATTTTATAGGTATGAAGCAACTTCCCAGCCTGACAAGCCTGCAAGGTGGATGTGTGAGTGGGAGGCCTTCTTTAACTCAGTAATGAGCACTCTCCTTTCTTCCAGAGGATTTATGCTAATGTGCCAGGCTCTGCAGCCCACTCCCGATTTACAATCAGGCAGTGTAGGAGACATCTACTTCATGGAGAGGGAGAAAACCCAGCACCCCCGCTCAGAAAAATGCTCCTTTCTGCACAGATGAATCTAAAATTGTTAGTTGAGAGCTAAATCATTTGAAACAGATAATTAGCTTTCAGAGTCAGCTGGATTTAGTTTAGATTTCCAAGCATTGCACACGTTCAAAGTCTAATGCTCATTTAAAACAAAACCTGCAGAATTAGTGACTTATAAAATGCAAACTCATTCTCTTCCCAGGCATAGAACGGGGCTTCCTGCGATTACTGGACTCTAGCTTCCTAATGTTTGAAGGGAGTGTTTTGAGAAGCTATGACTACCTCTACCCTTGGCACAGTCCCATGCACAGCTCCTGCATGTACCATGTTTTGGCCATAAAATCTGGTTTGTGATCAGTTTTTGTCCTGAAGCCAGGTCACAGAGCTGTCTTCCCCACATTCACACCCCTCACTGTATACTTTATCTACAAAGAAATATTCAACACCCTCAACAAATTTAAAAAGTAAAAATTTGTAAGTTATAGTGAGTGCAGGAAAACAAAATTAAGAAGTAAAATAGTTAACACTGTCCTCTTCGCTTCCACCCTGCCACCAGGGTGTGGAAAAGTCGTTTGAGGTCTCCAGGAATGTACTACTGCTTGCAACATGCACGAAGCCCGGGCAGCTGTTGACTACAGGACGATAATGAAAAACCTGCAGGGAGGACACTGTCTGGGGAAAAATGCAGACACTATAGTCACAGCTTCCTGATAGTTGTTGCTAGCTCCAGAAGAGGTGTTTGGTTCTTGTTCTAATTATTAAAAGTTTTGCCACTATCACATTAGCTACTGCAAGTTCTCATTAGTCAGGGCAAGCCAGATCTGTTCACAGTGAAACAGCTTCAGTGTTTTGCTGTGTTCTCCAGCACTCAACTTTCCTTCCAAAAGGAGATGCAAACCTTTCTATTGCCAAGAGCTTACATAAAATTACCAATATGCAGCTGTGTAACTGGATAAACCAGACACTGAAATTGCAGCATCAACAGAAATATTAATTTCCCCCAATCACATTGTTGCGTGAGAGGGGTTGTTATATTTTGAAGTCTTTTCTCTTAGATACCTATCATCGAAGCGCTTCACTCCTGAGTGACATAGCAGATCTGTTCAGCAAGTGCCCTGGCCCTACCTGGACATATGTCAGTGCAGATGCTCCACAGTCAACTGCAGCCGAACACACAAAAGCCATTAAGATAATGACTGAGAATTGGATTGAGACTCTAACAAACGCAAAACACCCCCAAACAAGGCAATTATTGCCAGCTCTACACCACTGACACTGCTAACCTGGGTACTACTTAACAGGACATGTGGCTTCCCAGCAGATCGCTGGAGACTGGCTAAGAGATGTTAAGGTTTTGTGTTTTTATTTTTACAGAGAAGATCTCACCACAGATGTTTCCTCTGCTGAATCATGATGCTGCATTAATGCTTGGCCATGTACCAGATTAAAATGCATTTAACAGAAAACAGGATCTTCAGAGATACCAGTAAACCCTAAGATTACATCATCTGGCTGATTCTCCGGCAGGTGGAAACTACAAGTCAGAAATTCAACATACATAATTTGTCCCATTCTCCTGTAGCTATTTAATATACAATCCAGCGTTCCAGAAAAAAAAAGAGTCAAGCTAAAATTAAATCAAATCTATTTATGCACTTCTCTCTCCCTCATTTACATGATTACACTCCGAAAGAGCAACAGTGTAATGAAGCTAGTATTGAGGAGATGGCCAGCATTCCCTTCAGCAGAAGCTGGAACATAAGAAGTAAATGGCATGTATAGGACTGCTCTCTAGTTAAGGGATTTATATTATGAAACTGCTATTACACTTTACTTTAAAAACCGCTCTGGTTTTAATTACTAGCCCCCAATTACTGTGTCACTATGCATCTAAGGGGAATTTTACAAATGCAAACGGGACTTTCAACGGCAGCTGGGTGACTAGTGCCCTTTTGTGCCTTTAAAAATATCCCCCATAAGTAGTTAGCAATAATATTTGGCTGTCATAGCTTGAGAAAATCAGGAGAGTTGTTACTTGCAATTCATCTCTGCCAAGCTCAGTATACCTACCGCCTTTCCTGTAGTGACTGCTAGGTACCTTTCTTGGAGTGAAGGCAAGTGAAAACTGCTGCAGATCTGTTGTAGCGGTGGTCAGAGCGCTAATTCAATGGCACATTCCCTTCCCGATCCAACATAAGACTAAAGCCATATACAAACCACCATTATTCCACACTAACTGGAATCAAGGCACCTACAGCACGCAGCTGTTAGGAATTCGTGGCCAGTGCTCACAACTCAGCTAGGTTCTACCAGAGCAGCACATCTACTCGAGCTCTGTGAAGTCTCCTTACAGATTCACATTCAGCCTTGCACAACAAATAGACCAACTGTTCAATCCTTGATTTTATTGCACTGAACATGTTAGGCTGTAGGACCTGCGACACATGCCTCTGAGCGGGTATTACCCAGCCCTTCTAGGAGAACACAGGCATCGAGTAGGCAGGCTCTTCACTTCACTTGCATCTAGAAAGCATCAATAAATGCAAGTGAACTAATTTTTTGGTATTGAAAATTAGATGGACACAAAATTAGAAGAAAAACTCACTACTCCATGGCAAAGAAATTTGGAAACCTGACAGCCATTATCACAGATTATACCACAACAGTGTGGGCCCCCCAAGCCGTGGTTCTACTCTACTTGTTTGCTCATGAATACTCTCCCCAAAGCTTTGTACGTTCCTGAAGTACTACTTCAAGGGGAAAAGAAACACAATGGAGTCCAACAGATTCTAGGTGCATTTGAAAACTGAGGACAGAACAGAGAAATTCTGTGGCTTTAAACATGCCTCCTTATATTTTTGCATTATAGGAAGACGTGAATGCAGACTGAAAGGTGTGGGGGGTGTACAGGGAGAGGTCAAACTAGGAAGAACACTATTATCGGAAGTCTTGTATTAGGGACAATTTTCTGGTGCAGTTTTTAAATACACAAGCCCCTGGTTAATATGTTGCTCTGTAATCTGTGAATATAGACCACATGCAAACTGAATTACAGCCTCAAACAGGAGTTCTCTCACTCTCTTCTTTTAAAATACAACTTTTACGTTCTTTGATAATTCTTATTGCCTGACTTGTCTGCAGCCTTCAGCAACCCACAGCACAATGTACAGCTCCAGTGTATCCTTGAGACTGCAAACTCAGAAAACACGCAACAACCTCTGGCAAAGGCAGGTAACTGTACCGTCTGTCAAGTTTCTGCAATCAACAGGGTGCAGGAGAATAGATTTCTTAGGTCGTGTCCAAACCAAAACTTTTACTGGATTGAGCTTCCTCAAACTATAGAATGTACCTTACGTGTGCTGGAACAGGTTAGAATGGGCTTTGATAATACTCAGTACAAAATGATTGGCATAATAATCACCATATAAAAACTTTTAATTGCTCATGGGACTTTAAGCCTGCTTGCTATTTGTAGTCTATAACACATAGCTGGATTTCCTGTCCTATAAAGATTTATATACTATATATCTGCTTCCCTTTCTATGCTTGTACAATATACTTTTCTGCAGCTACCTCTGTGGCAGCCCTACATTGTATTACTGAATAAAACAGTAAGCATATTTACCCCTTTATGCCTTTATTTTGATAAAGTCGGTCACGCCCACATATAAGGCAATATACACCACAGTTAAAACCACCCCCTCCCACCCACAAAAAAAAAATAAATAACACAAATGAATAAAGTACTTAATGTAGTGTTTTGTTTTGCAGTATAGAAATTCCACACAATGATTCTGTTTAAAAAGGTAAAAATGATTTATAATACACAGTTATCGTAATGTCATCATGGTGCCCGCATAGAAAACTGACATGCAATCCATGCCTACACTGCACAGTATAAATAGTAAGCAACTAAAAATACAAATAACAGGAGCACTACAAAGTTTTTCCTTTTTTAAAAAGAGAACATATACATATAATAAACGCTAATTGCTCTTTCACATTGCCATCACAGTGACAGGGGGTCCGTTTGTCCAAGTAATAAATGCTTTCATCCTTAAAGCACAGAGTACATTTTAACCAACTGTAAGATGAGGGGGATTTCCTGTTCCATATTATACACTGAGGTGGTTTCCAAATTGAGTAATATCCTAATAAGGGAAGGGCAAGTCTTAAAATAGCACTCCTACAGAAATAGAGTTTTAAGAAACAACAATTCATAGCTTACTCTGAAGTGGAATTTAATCAAAAAGAACCCTGTACCAGTTATTACCAACTGTGTGTGGCTCAGGTCTCCTAGCGGGGAGTTTTAAGCAACCACCTTTGTTAAGAGGGTTTGCACCAGTATTCTCGGACAACTTTTTGTTTTAAAGGGAAACAAAAAACAGTCCATAAATTATCAATAGTTTCTGCCATAACTAAAAGTCAACATCTTTCTTTCCACTTTATTTTTATTTTTTTTTTTTTAAAGCAAAGGTTCTCTCTGTACAGGAAAGGGTTTTTGCACGGTTAAAGAATGCTGGAAAAGTGTTCACTAACATGCAGAAGCAGTAGTGAGACAAACGTTTGATGCTGCCTGCGGTCAACCATGCATGCAGCATACAGAACTATCATAACTCGGCCTGTGCAGATCCATTTTTAAAGAGAATGCACAGTCAGTACTATATACAATGCAAAAGAGCTTCTCCCGTCCCGCCCACCAATAAGCTGCAATAAAAAGCAGAAATTCACTTTTCTTTTTAAATCACAGTACTTTATACATTGAGAGTTTACTCCTTTTACTTCCCCAAAGTGTTGGCAAATGCAACAGTCTGTCTTGGGAAATTCTTATAAAAACGCAGCTCTACAGAAATCAATCAGCAGGTATATGTTTGGACATTAACCCTTTGAGACATGAGACTGTTTAAAAAACAATTACATCTAATTTAATACTTCCAATTTTTTCATCTTATTTTTCCCCAAGCAATGTCCTTTCTTCCCCTCCTCCCACAAGTATCTCTGCAAGTATCACCAGTTCCTTTATTCTAATGGCCAATGCTTTTCCACATCTACCACCCTCATAAGCAGAGTAGAAAATGCAAACGGTACTACTTAACTTAAAAATGAAATTGAAATCTACTTACGTTCTGAAAGCATTGGGGATCCACCCTGTGTTTGAACTCGAAAACTTTAAACATTTATTGTTTAAAATAATGTAAACTCATACACAACTGTTAAAAAAATCAGATTTAAAGGGAAAGGGAAAATATTCTTCTACTAGAATAGAGCACACATTCTGCTGTCAACAAGCCACTCTCTCAGGGAGCAAAGTGCAGAAACTATTGAAATGTTACTGACACTGCACTAAAATAACCGCTCTGATTTTCAAAGGGTTAAAAATGAAAGCAGCTAGCCTGCCCCCTACTGGGGCTAAAGAGATGAAGCACATTCTTTCATACACATTCATCATCCCCTTTTCCCATGATCTCCTCGTCCTCTCCTCTTACCCCTTCCAGAAAAGAAACACAAAGTAAAGATATTTCTCCTAACTAGATGGTCCCTAATTGCCGCCTCCCCCCGACCCCACACACACATTTTGTTTTTGACAATTGCATCTAGATGGGTTTATATTTTTTTTTTAAATTAAGGCCATTTAAAATGTCTACTTACAAGTCTAAAACAAGCTCTCCTATATACACGTGTAGTTTAAAAAAAAATAGAAGGTAGCATTTAGCGATATCTCCCTGTAAAACTATCCAGTCAGGAGTCTGTGAATTCCTAACTGGACGCTTCACTCTTAAGTGACTCTGGTTTTAAAAAAATAGATCATCACAGACAAGGATTTACATGCATAAGAGACATCTGAACAAGAGGTTGATATAGACAGAGATCCAATCAATGAACTAACAGTACTGTCAAGGAGATTAAGTAACTGCACAAAGTGTACTCCATTCACACCGTACCTTTGGCTGTTTTGAAGCAAAGAACTTCATATCATCTGTGCCCAAATTACTCACATTCTTTTAGGGTAACCTCCTGTTTAAAGCTACCTTTTTTTTTTTTAATTGACAAAGCATTAGCAATCTGACATAAGCAGACTTTGTGAGTAACACATAACATCAGGCTTAAATGTTGATGAACATTATAAATGGAGATGCAGGATAGCCTTGCAATTACGTGGAGAGGAACCAAAGAAAACCAACCTTTAGCAAGAAGCTTACACAAAAGCTATGAGACAGAAAAAATAAAAATCCCACATCACTTTTAGTGCAAATGGTCAACTAATGGCACAAATATGTGAGCAAACACGCATCCCCATTATATAAGATCCCAGCAATAATTCTGCTTAGCAGTGTCTCTGTGCATCTCAGGACAGCACCTCACAGATTTCTGGAAGCACACAGAAACCTAGCTATAACTCATTAGAAGTAGCCCACTTTTGCCATGGACATTTACATTCCTTGCTCAAAAAAAGGGAAGGGAAAGGTTTTTGGGGAGTGGGGTGATTGGGTTGGGGGATGTTTTTAGATAAAAAATTTCATAACTGGAAAAAAAACAAACCCTAACTCATGCATTTTTTGACCAAATGCAAAACAGGGCAATGCAAACTCAGTAAATAGGAGAACAAGATTTGGAGAAGGTGGAGAATAAACACCATTCCTGAAAGGGGAAAAACAAACAAACAAATGATGTCTTTAAATATAAGTTAAGAAGGCTTTTTTATTTGAAATTGTATTTATCAAAAATATATTTGGATGTTCAGCCCCTGCTGCAGGGAAATATTCTCTCTTTTTGTAGTAATTCCTTCATTAACACATTCAATATACTATTTGTAATCAAATATTTTTTGTTAGTACAGGTCAAATAATGTAAATTTTAACTTCTGCTGAGAAGGGTCATGTACGTGGGTTCTCTTACTGGGAGGACTAGGTCCAATGAGCACAACATTTTAACAGCTATACTTCTCCGACAAGTACCGCAAGTGCACTGGCCTCTTGGTGAACAGCAAATCCTATTTCTCAGATTTGTAAAAGAGTGACCTAGTGTCAGGAATCTAGGACTCATTATTCTATGTCAATTTCAGCCATTACATTTAAGTGAAATCATCATTTTAGAATCTATGGGTGGTCTGTTCTTTTAAATCATTCACCATTCCGCTGTGTTGTACCAGAGAATATTCGCTGTGACTAACAGAAGTAGTCTACTATGAATGTAAGAGCCTCGGCATGCTAGGACACAGTACATTTCACTATTAGCAAGTGATTGTTTCCAGGGTTACAGAAGAAATATCCCAGATTCATAGAAATGTAGAGCTGGACGAGACCGTGAGAAGTCATCAAGTCCAGCCCCCTGCGCTGAGACAGGACCAAGTAAACCTAGAACATCCCTGACAGGTGTTTGTCCAAACTGTTCTTAAAAATCTCCAATGATGGGGATTCCACAACCCCCCTTGGAAGCCTGTTCCAGAGCTTAACTACCCTCATAGCTAGAAAGTTTTTCCTAGTATCTAACCTAAATCTCCCTTGCTGAAGATTAAGCCCATTATTTCTTATCCTACCTGCAGAGGACATGGAGAACAACTGATCACCTTCCTCTTTATAGCTGCCCTCAACATATGTGAAGACTATCAGATCCCGAGTCATTTTTTCTCAAGAATGAACATGCCCAGTGTTTTTACCGTTTCCCCATAGGTCAGATTTTCTAAACCTTGTCATTTCTGTTCTCCTTTGGACTCTCCAATTTAGTACCATCCTTCCTACAGTGCGGCACCCAGAACTGGACATAGTACTCAGCTGAGGCCTCACCAGTGCCAAGTAAAGCATGACAATTACCTCCCATGTCTTATATATGACACTCCAGTTAATAAACCCCAGGATATTAGCTTTTTTCCCCTCACACCTGCATCACACTGTTAACTCATTCAATTTGTAATCCACTATAATCCCCAGATCCTTTTCAGCAGTGCTACCGCCTAGCCAGTGATTCCCCATTTTGTAGTTGTGCAATTGATTTTTCCTTTCTAAGTGTAATACTTTGCATTTGTCTTTACTGAATTTAATCTTGTTGATTTCAGACCAATTCTCTAATTTGTAAAGGTCATTTTGAATTCTAATCCTGTCCCTCAAAGTGCTTGTAATCCCTCCAAGATTGGTGGGACACCAACAAATTTTATAAGCATACTTACCACTCCATTATCCAACCCATTAATGAAATATTGAATAGTACCAGACCCAGGACTGACTACCTCAGGACCCCACTAGATACACCCTCCCAGTTTGACAGTGGACTATTGATAACTACACTTTGAGTATGGTTTTTCAACTAGTTGTGCACCCATCTTTTAGTAACTTAACCTAGGCCACATTTCACTAATTTGCTTATGAGAATATCATGTGGGAATCTGTCAAGAAACCTTAGTGAAATCAAGATCCATCACATCTATATCTTCTTCCCCCATCCAGTAGGCCAGTAACCCTGTCAAAGAATATGTATGTTCCTGTTACCCTAATGTGAATATATAAAACAGCAAACACTTGACAGACTTGCCCTAGGTTTGCTTACTTCTGGTCAGCATCTGGCTTCAAATTCCAGTTAGTTAAAAATATTATATATAATATTTCTGGAATAAAAAAATCACAAAAGGATGTACTGTATAAGTATTATGCAGAGTGCTTCAATTGGCCTTATGTAGTTTAGCTACTTTTCTAATATCCAAATACTTAAATAAAAAAAATGCATAAATAACAGTAACAGAATATTCAATAGGCAACGAACAAGAATAAAAAAAATCATAAAAATAGCCACCATGACTTGGGCTGGGTATTACTACACAACGGCCCTTCCTGTTGCCTATATGAATTTCACACAAGAAGCAGAATTTAAAAATAAAATTCTCTGCAACTTAGCCACCAATATACTTTTAGTGGCTTCAAAATGCTCCACTCACTCCTTCACACTCACCAGGTAATGAATTATAGTACTTTTTTGTGTGCTCAGAAATTTAAAACAAGAAAAAGGCTCCAGAAATAGTGTTTACAGTTGCTTTTTTGGATAACCGGCTACCGAGAGCCCACTGGGCTGCCAGGCCGCTTTCCTGCTTTGCCAAGTACACGAGTTTGCTCAGGGCATACGAACAGGCAGTGGGTGCTGGACAACAGTCAAGGAAACAAACCTGAAAACAAATATGGCATATCAATCAAGGGAGAAGCATTGTACTCTACAAAGCAACTGTCACAAAATAGTCTGGGAGAGTCAAAATTAACAGCCTCCCCCCTTTCCCAGAGGGTGGCCATACAGGCATTTTGCTTTAGAGTTAGTGAGAGGTCAGTAGTCTGAGAGTTTCCCCTCTCAGTCTCGCAAGGAGATGGCTGTTGATCAGTTACAGAAACAGCCAATGATCAAATGCTAATGATGTGGTATTTTACAAAGAGAATCTCTTTACCCTTGACTCTGAACCTTCATCACCTACCCAGAAACACCACCTTCTAGTGCAAAGGATAAATTGACAACCTTACGCTGGGACTTCACTGGTGGGGGTTTGGAGGGGAGAAGGCTGATGCAAACTCCTTACTCATTTAATGACAATGAGTAGATAAGGGATAAACTATGGCGCAACGGGGAATGGGGGTCTGCAGCACTGCAAGCTTAGAACAACAAGCTTTACTCATTGTACATGGTGTACATGACAGAGCTACTGCTCTCGGTAACTCTTTAATCGGACATGACTGACCCATTGGACTGTTCAGTTCAGATGGGCTCCAGGAACTAATTTTATTCCCAGGCTCATGGTGTCCTCAGTCTACAGCCGGTCCATCCTGAAAGTGTCCTCTGTGGCAGGATCGGTGAGGACCATATCTGGGTCATTAAGCATGTGCAGTCCATCCAGGGTTAAAGGGTCAATTTTGAGTTCATCCAGAGGGAATTGGGAATCCGAATCAAAGCTGACATCTCCGACACCTGCCAAAGAGCTGGTCAGTTCCTTTGATAAGCTGGGAGGAGATTCTCCTGTCACTAGAGTGAAGAGGAGGGGAGACAGGTCTCAGTACTGCTGCTCATTTACCAAAACACACACTTCTTTGCACAATCTTCTGGCTAAAGATAAAGTGATGAAACAGCTTGCACACAGATCAGACGAGTTTACTGAATTAGCAAGAATACATTTGAAAAAGAAAAACAGATCCTAACCTGCATTGTAGGTTTGTCAAATGCATCACAAAACCTAAATTAAAGGGCTCTACATCATCATGGGCAGCCTAATACAAAGCATAACTCAAGTGAATCCCTGTGGGAATGGAACTGAAAGGGACAGACCACACAGTCACATGACTATCACACCAACACTTGATAATTCAAAAATAAATGTAGAAAGCTTTGCACAGGCACCTTTAGGAGTAAAATGGTCTTAACTTCCAAATGAGGAGTGCAGTGAGACCAAAGCCACCCTTCACTCCTCCCCTCTCAAAGGTTCAAAAAGAACTAAGCTCTCTCCATAACTTAACATACATGATGCCAAGAACTAGACACCAGAAAGATCCTAAAATGATATTTGGACTAAGCTACTGACTTGCTTAGTGACCCTGGGGGAATCACTTCACTTTCAAGTGCTTCATATCCACCTCAACACACACATTTGGCACTAGGGTTTCTCTTATTGCCAAGTCTCAGCAGAGGAGCTGAAGATAAAATGGGCCATGAAGGCTGAATTCTTCTCACACCATGACTGATGGTCCTAGAAGGTTAGGGGTGAAGTAGCTAGCATTATCACTGCAAGTATGGTCTATGTTGTGACTAAATGAAGGATGTCCTCCTGGCACCTTTCACCAGCACAAAATCCACAAACATTTGTATAGTCTAGAACACAGCTTTCACAGGCTCCAACACTCCCTCTTAGTTCCACTCACCAATAACAGCACACAGTGAAAATGACCCCAGTACAATGAAGGAAAGTTTTACTCGTCCCTGTTCAGTTAGGTCAGCAAATGCCTTACCTGTGAGGATGATGTTGGGGATGTTTCCATGGCTGGAGTAGGTCAGCTGCTGTGAGTCCTGCAAGTTGCCATGGCTCCCAGTAAGTCCCATCATGGCTGCCTGGGAGTAGTTAAGGGTGGAGCAGGGGCTGTACAGGCTGTTGGAACTAATGGCGTTTTCTATCATATTAAACTGTTCAAGCTGAAGACCAAGGCACAAAGGAATAGTTACTTCTAGCCATCAGGAAATACAGTGAAGCAATTTACACACCTCTAGTTAGGGAGATAATGTTTCAGAAGGGCAGGCAAACAAATTCATCTTTAGGTTTTGTAGACCAGAATATGGTCTATTTCCACCTAGCTTTGCAGAATAGTTTACAGCCAAATTCCGCTCTTGTGCCAAATCAAATTGCTGCCTACAATATCCTACCAAGCAGTCAAGCCTTTGAAAGAAAGAAAGAAAGAAAGAAAATAATACTTTTTAAAAAATGAAAAAACAGTAAAAAAAAGTTTAAAGCGATATGATTGATGCTATTGTAGCCAACTATCTGCCTGCCCCAAGTGCAATCCCATTCTGAAGCCATTTCACCTTCTCAACTACACTGGCACATTTAACAGCTAAAGTAGGGACTATAGTGGGGGGCTGGTCTGACAAAAGCATGGAGGTCTGCTTGTTACATTTTGGGATCCCACACATCTTGGTTGCAAATTATAGATGTATGTATTTGTTGCCACCCACAAAGTGAGATCTTCCAAATGGGATCACTGTCAAGGAAGGTTTTTTGGTTTTCTTTCATCTAATAATCTTGGCAGAGTCCCTTTAAAAGCCATCTGCTATAATGCTTAAGGGGAACAGCAAATAAAATGAAATACCCGTGCAATTACAAACTAAAACAGAAGTAATAAGATATGGACAGAAATGTGATCTTTAGAATAGCCGTAAATTGAATTCTATGTATTTATTTTAATCTCAGAATGGCCAAAATATAGTCAAAATCTGAGATGAATTTGCTCACCTGATGGGATAGGGCATTAGCCTGCCTAGCTGTCATCTGCTGATCATAATAGGAGTCACCAAATACACTCCCCAGAATGGAAGAATGCTGAAAACAAAACAGAGTCCTTATGTTGTGAAAGTCACACAAACAGTGAGGCGTACCCAAGGTGTGTGAGTGACTGAACTCTTCCAACTGAATGGTATCAAATTTGGTAAGAAATACCATTAATTATTAAGGAAAACTAATAAAGAACAGAATATAAAATACTGGATTTTCTCTTCAAACACCAGAGTCCTCCTGTATAACTCTTTTCATTAAAGCACATGAAATATAGGTTCTAGGAAACCATAAGCTTCCTCCCATAGGGGACATACATAAACTTCTGCTTTATAACAAAAGTTATGCAAATATACTATAAAAAAAAACACCGCAATTTTTGCACAAAAACCCAAACATTTTTCCATGAAAAGAATAAAAACCACAAATACAGCTAAGGCAGCAAAGTGCACGTTGCAACCGATACATAACAAAAGTTTTCAAGTACGTAAAAGGATGAGGGAGGTAAATTGTTCTCGATAACCTCTGAAGTTAGGACAAGAAGCAGTGGGCTTAAATTGCAGCAAGGGAGTTTTAGGCTGGACATTAGGAAAAACTTCCTAACTGTCAGAGTGGTTAAGCACTGAAATAAATTGCCTAGGGAGGTGGTGGAATCTCCATCATTGGAGATTTTTAAGAGCAGGTTGGACAAACTTGTCAGGAACGGTCTAGATCAGAGGTGGGCAAACTATGGCCCGTGGTGCCGTCCTGCCCGGCCCCTGAGCTCCCAGCAGGGGAGGCTAGCCCCTGGTCCCTCCCCTGCTGTTCCCCTCTCCCTGCAGCCTCAGCGCGCCACGCCGTCAGCTCTCTGGCCCGCCGCTCCTGCTGGCAGTGCGGGCGGCAGGGCTGGCTCCAGCTGGGCGGCGGGGCCGCGAGCTCCTGCTGCTCTGAGCAGCATAGTAAGGGGGCAGCAGGGAAGGAGGGGCTGGATAAGGGGGCAGCAGGGGAGGAGGGGCTGGATAAGGGGGCAGCAGGGGAGGAGGGGCTGGATAAGGGGGCAGCAGGGGAGGAGGGGCTGGATAAGGGGCAGGGGGTCCCGGGGGGCAGTCAGGGGACAGGGAGCAGGGGGGGTTGGATAGGGAGTGGTGTCCCGGGAGGCAGTTAGGGGCAGGGCGTCCCAGGATGGGGCAGTCAGGGGACAAGGAGCAGGAGGGGTTGGATGGGTCGGGGATTCTAAGGGGGGCAATCAGAGGGCAGAAAGTGGGAGGGGGCGGATGGGGGCAAGGGCCAGGCTGTTTGGGGAGGCACAGCCTTCCTTACCTGGCCCTCCATATAGTTTTGCAACGCTGATGTGGCCCTCGAGCCAAAAAGCTTGCCCACCCCGGTCTAGATAATACTTAATCCTACTATGAGTGCAGGGGACTGTACCGGATAACCTCTCAAGGTCCCTTTGAGTCCTATGATTCTAGGATAATGCAGTAACTACTTCAGTCATCAATATGCCTATGATGGCTGGTTACCCATCTCCCTCACCTAGTATTTACAAAATGAGCAGTTTAACTAAAACAATAAGGTGCCACAGTGAATCTCGATTTACAGTATCAAGTCTTTTGCATCAAGAGCAGATCAGAGAAGTTATTTATTAAAATGCCTGTGTATGAAATGTGCTTTCAGCAGTACCAAAAGAAGGTAAATTTGCAGAAGGAATTCTACAACCACGCTAATTTCCTTCTTTTCCTTTTACTGAAATGTCCATTGATCAGTCATTCCAAAGGTGACCAACAGCTTTGAATTGTTGTGTTTTATTTTTACACACCATCCAACTTTCAACTTCTATTTACTCAAAAGGCTTCTAGCTATAATAGAAATCACAAATATAATTCCTTCTTTAAATTCTGTCTAACTTTGCAGATTCTAGTTGAAAATCTACTGTCTCCAACACAACTTGTGTACTTATATAGAACTTATTTGGAAAGTTTGTCTTATGTTTAGAGATGTATTTGTTTCTGTTTTTTAAATGTCTTGCATAGTATCTTCCAGCAGTTTTAATTTCATTCAATTCAACCACAAGGCTAAGAGACAAATCATTTTTCCCACAGAAAGTTGAATTACATAAGAAATTTTAAGCAAAAATCAAATTAGCAACTATACAGTTACACCAACTAATACAACTAAGGATATTAACATGGCAAAGTTGCAAAATACTCAAAAGCACAAGATGAAGTCCACAACAGTGAACATAAAATCAATTTAGCAGACAACAGTTAAGATAAATAGTAAAATCTCAGATGAAACACTTTTCCTATGGCACCAATAATTTGTGTGCGTCTTTGTGCATGCATGCGTGTACGTATATATATGAAATATTTCAAATCAGCATGAAAGAGGAGAAGGGATGGTTGTTTTTTTCAGCAAGCCTTCCAACAGTCCTTTGTAAAAAGGAGCCATCATGAAGTAAACATGATGACAATGCCTTTTCAAAGCAAAAGAAAGGAACTTTCTACCTTGAGGCAGAATCTTCCAGTGTCATTATGCTCTAGGGAAACTCTTGAGCTACTGTGGCAGCAGCGGATTCATAGCCTGATAACTAAAAGCCTTGAAGAAAGCCCAGTAGGGATTCACCATGGTGCACATATACAATCCATTTGCTAAACAGATCCTATTTGCACCAGGTCTGGTCTTAATACTGTGAACCCCCATTCCATTGTGTGTAGGAGGGCAGAGGGCATAGTTTGAGTGCACTCAGATAATAGAAAACTGTTGAACTCCTGAGCAGTGAGCATTCTGTATGAATCCAGCACAATGCTGAACATGGTGGGTACTTGCAACCCACCCTTAAAGCGTTGCTCCAGGCTTATGTCTAAACACCATCTAGAAGAAAGCCTCCCAGCCCAGGTAGAGAGACTAGCAGGGCTCAGGCTAGTGAACTAAAAACAGCAGTTTGGATGCTGTGGCTTGGGCTCTCAAGCCTAAAGGGTCGGGTGGGCTTGAAGGCCCAAGCCATAACCTCCACACTGCTATTTTTACTGTGCTAGCAGGAGTCTGTCTACCCAGACTGAAGGGCTCACTGCCAACTGCACTGTATATATGCCCAAAGGTTCTATGTTCCAAACTCTGATGTGTAAAGTCAGAAAATATCCTGATGCTCAGCAAATCTTGTCCAACAGGAAAGATCAGTCTCCTGTCACTCTCAGGAAGGGCTTGGCTACTAAATGAAATGAGGAACCTTTTCCTTAACACTGATTCAAGAGAAAGAATAGGATTTTACAGCAAAAAGAAGGTTTTCGACATAGAATATTTCCACTCTTATTGTTTTACATTTGAAAGGGATGATTCGAACACTTTCATGAATTTTTAAAGTATAATTAATTGCATCAAAGTGAAAAATAAAAGCACTTTTTCCTTCTAAGTACTGTAACAAGATGTTTTTGCCAGAATTGTATCCTGCATGTTAAATAAGGAGCTTCTTTGCCAGTACCTTGTTGACTCTCGTTCATTTATAAGACATGACTGCCCTGCCCCCAGTACAAACCCTAACCGCAACAGTGCCTCCTCATATCCGCAATATGCACAACTAAAGCCAATCTGGAATTGTCATTAGAAATGCAGCTGACATGCAGCAGCCCCAAACAGAACCTAAACAAGACCCTTCTCCTTTAACTTCTGCCATTTTTACACAAGCTTTTCAAAGATACAACAAAAAGCAAGAAAGGGAAAAAGAGGAAAAAGAAAAAATCCCTGCCGTAGTATGGTTATCATGACTCCTGTCCTAGAAGAAGCCTGAAGTAGAACATGAAAAGCAATGAACTGGACAAAATTCTTATGTGTTAGCCCCTGTTCCTCACAAGGTGCTCTGAACAAATCACAGAAACTCAAGCTACATTAATTTTTTCTTGAGACTCCTAAATGCACTATCTAATAATTTTATTAGTGGTAAAGCTCCATAAGGAAATCAACCAGAAAGTTTATGACTTCAGGGTCTAAAAATAATGTATCAACTGGTCTGATATACATCTTGTTAACCCATCTCCTACAGAAATACTATACAAGGTCTGTTTTGTCAACAGTACATCTTCCTTGGTTAATGACGTGGTGACTGCAAAAAAAACCTCGCTTAAATCATTGTCTAATAATACATACCATATTTTCCAAGTATTTAGTTGTTCTACTAAAAAAGCAACTTTATATGTAACAATGATGTCAGGGGAAAAAAAAATCAAGTAGTAATAAACAAAGCCAGTGTTAATGAAGAGCCATGCAAATAAGCTGAGAACCACAAGCAGAGCTTTTCAATTGATGTTTTAATGGAAAGTCCCTCACAGATCGGAAATGAGAATTTGGAACTCAAGAGACTAGCAAATAGATTTGGGGGTGGGGAAGTTGAGGAATAATTCCTGTTGCATGAACTAGATGTGATTAAACAAGTTATATTCTAAAAGTTTACATACAGAGAGCTGGTTCTACTATTAATAAAATGTGGGATTTACCTAAAATTAATCAGAAATACAGAAGTTAGAGATGGTAGAGGCCCACAAAGCCACATCTAGCCCACCCCTACATCCTCATACAGAGCAAGATTGTTCCCCTACACTACATCTTCCAGTTTCTTTACCAGCCTTTTTTAAAAACGTCTCAACCGATGAGGGTTCCACCTCTTCCCTCGAGAGACTATTTATGCTGGAGCCTAACAGACCTCATCATTAACAAGTTCTCCCCACCACCCCAACCATTCAGCCTACATCTTTTTTCTTATCCTTTTTCTCCTAGTTATACCCTTTTCTATCACTTCTCTCCATCCTTAAAAATACGTAGCTACTTATGTCACCCCACCCGTTGGCTTACAGATGTGGGAAGGAGAATAAGTTTTCTAATTTAATAAGGTATCGAGAACCTTTTTCCAATCTTTCCCATTTGGCTTTTGCTAGATGACAACCCGTATCTCAGCATCCTATTTAGAAGTACAGTACTTCAAACCAAGTTCTGCTAGTTCGGAAACTAATTGTTCCTTGTAAATTGGTCTGACATGTATCCCTTTGCCAACATACCAAATATGAAATGAAATGTTTTTAAGAGGCCAAATAGTAAAACAAGCAATGTAGTTAAACTCCACCTCCTTCCATAGATCTGCTAGAGGAGTAACCACATGTCTGTTAGGCACATCACAGTGACTTGGTTTAGATACGGAGGGAAGACCAATAGGGAAAACTGCTCTCCATGGCATTCCACCACTTTAGACTGCCCCATGACAATAAGTTAACTGGTCTGAGGACACAGGCAGGGAGGATTTACTGACCAGTCAACGGACAATCAATAGAAGCCTACATTTGGGTGCACTGCCCAATGGGGGTTTCAGGGCTGAGAATTAGTAACAGTGTCTGGTAGCAGCATTAACCGAATGGCAGCTTAGAGAAAAGGGAGTACGTTTTCTTGCCTACTCTGAGCCATACAAAGACAGAGCAGAGGTAGAAGAGGCGGGCAGAAGAATCAGTTACAGTAGCAGTGAAGTGAAGGTTAAAAAGTCACACTGACAGCCCTAACCCTCAGATCTATTACTGAGTTCACTAAGTTCTGACTGAAATCACTGACTTAAGTCTATGGCTAATGGCCTGGAGAGAGGAACCTCCAACTTTGAGGAATAATTGTATCTATTTTAATTATGCTTCTCCTTATAAATATCCCTTAAAAGTTAAAGTACCAGAAAACAGGAAATACAATTTCAGACTTTCTCATGGTGTCCAGTGAGCACTCCCTTCTGCCTCCCATCACCATTTTTGGGATGTAGGAAAGGGCAACAACTTTGACCTATTGCAGCAGCACTAGGAGGAGATTCTAAACTATCTCAGCACTGCCTGATTAGCAGTTCCCCCTAAAAACTAGTTCACTATTTCTTTAGTTGCCCTGTAGCTGGCGGATTAAATTCCTGTTGCTCTGTTTAAATACGGGCACAATGATTTGTGGGACTCTTGCATATATAAATTAAAATTTACACAGACAGGGAAGATAGCCACCCTGCAAGATTAATATTTAATGTTTTTCTAACCTGTTTCTTTCAAGTCGTGAAATGGAGTTACTGCCTTTTCAAGAGTTCACTTTCTACAGAGGTTTCTTTAAAAGTGTCCATTGTTTCCTGCTTTAATTGCACCTGAGGATGTGAGCTGTATTCAGAGGTGCACAGATCACCTGGACAGACCTCCCCATCCCCCTCACTTCCTTTCACATCCCTACGCCCTTCCAGCCACTCCAACAATCATTGCTATAGACTCACACTTCCCATGAGGCATCATTTCCTTTTTTGAAAGGGATCTTTCTGGATGCATTTTCTGTGTAGCTCTCATGAAGGAGTAATTGAGTGTAAGTTTAACAGTAGCTTCTATTAAAGTTTGAATTCACCAACTTTTGGAAAACTCGGTATCTGAATGAAGCTGCAAACATGATGAGACATCAGTGATGCATGAAGCACATAAAGTTACAGTGAGACAACCACGGGTCAGTAATGGAAAGACTCAACTAAAAAACAAACACAAGAAGCAAGGCCTGTGGAAGCACAGAGTCCCTTACTTGAGGGGAGCTGCCAGGAGAGAAGCCTTGATTGGAGACAGGAGAGGTGGGAGACTGGTTGGCTGGGGATCCAGCATTACTGCGGTACTGCTGGAGTGAAGCCTACAGAACAACACAGAATTAAAGACCATGGGATTGATGAAAGGTTGAAAAATTATATACTTATTGGTGTAGAGCTGGGGAAGCCAGGTGAGACCATCTTCAAGAACTCCCGGAGATCAGCAATTATGCTATGACTGTGAATAATGCCCCAAACATCATGAAAAAGGTCAAGATACCAACACGGCATGGTCTGGTGTCTAACTATGCACACCTAAAAACAGGGCAGTGCTGTTATTCAAGGACAACTGAAATATTTCTGGTTTATGTTTTGTTTTCATTTTTTTAAAAAACCAGTCAGCCAACACATAAAAGAGACACGTGCGGAAAGCGGCCTCCCAATCTGGGAATAATTTGAAAATACGGGCATTGATACCTTCAGACTCAACTGCCACCCTCTCCCCTTCTTAATTTGATGCCTATGGCCCTTAGAAAAGTGATATAAGTACTGTTCTTCCTACTCTTAGGAATTAGTCTAGATAAATGAATTAGGTTAAAATGTATAATTGCAAAGACAAACCCTTTTCATAACTACATACTTTCCAACTGTATGAACTAGACACCATCTGATACCTACACTGTCTGTAGGCTAATGCTAGCTATGCCCATATAGTTTTTAGCCTTAGTGAGATAAGATGTTCACAGAATTACCTTTTCACTGTCACATACAGTACCCTGGATTAAGGTCAGAGGATCACTCAAACGCAAAACAGATACAGAGCAGCTGTTGAAATAATAAACACCACTCTTTCTATAATGCTGTCTTTGAGAGCCAAGATTATTATGAGGAGGAACCCAATATCGCTGACCAAGAAGTAATTAAATCAGACAGTTTTATAAAGTGAGGAATGGTGTATTAACACTTTCTAACACTGTTTAAAATGCATAAAGAATAACTCAAGGTTAGTACACCGTCTTGGTTTGGTTTTTGTTTGTTGTTTTTTTTTTTTTTTTTTAAGATCCATAGAATTCAAGTATTCTATTGAGGTACTGCACACTGGCCTTCAGTGGGGCTATGAGGATTAATGGAAAACCTTTCAGTGAAGCTGCATTGTAGCTTAGAATACTTTTTTTACCCAGGTTTAAAATGTAGTGTACTTGTATACTATTTCAAGTTCTAAAGAGAAACTGAACATTCTGAATTTTAAGGGCCTAGAGAAGTTTAGGATGAGGAAAGCAATGTGAAAAGCAGAGAAGGAAAATCAGAATATCTGTATTAGTTATTGCATAAACATTAGAGAAAAAAAAACATTCAGACATGTTGTTTTGAGTAGTGGCATGTTAAAACCAATATCCCTTCAAACTACTGATTTCTGTTTCACCTGTATCTTCTCCAACTCCCTCACAATCCTGGCACAGAAGCCACATCTCTACCAGCACAACCTGGTTTAAACCTGATCCCCAGATTGAAACCCACAATCATGTCTTAGCCCTCCACAGCTGCTAGTATTGCCCCACTGCCAGGAAGAGAAGATTTTCCAATGAAATCAGAGACAGCAATTCACTGGCCTTCGGAGCAGAACTAGCAGAGAATGTGCCAGGTACCTCTTCCTAGCAATGGGGCATCATCTCAGGGCTGACCTATTATATTGAACCACCTTCTGAATTCTGGATTCCAGGTTGTAGGAAGAGATTGGACAATTTACAATAGAAAATTTTGCCTTCTTGGTTTAACTCTGCCCTTCAACCGTATAGATGTGTCTACTCAGTTCTTTAGAGAGACTTGAAAGCAACTATAACAAACTCTCCAAGAAATAATGTTAGCCAAAAAAATTCCTCTTGAACAAACTGCTGTGCTTTAAAAAACAGTATCTGTGGTTTTCTGTATCTTTGGTGGAAAATGCTGATTAGCACAACTTTATTAAACTTCAGTTAAATTTCTCATCTTGGCTGTGTAGCACTCAACTTGTGGATACCAGATTCACCTGGGGCAAAAAATAAGTACATATGATAGCTGGGAAGGTAGCAGTACACTAGCACTAAAATGCAAATGCTGCTGTCTGAAAATTAAACTAGCCTGACCAAACTCCATTTTGGCAGACACCTGAACACAGTTAACATGGATAAATATTTTTCAGTTTTACGAAATTCTGGTCTTTCCAATTGCACAGAAATGTCTTGTCTTTCAGAACTTAAAACTAGCTAAATTTCAAAAGATGCTTCTCACTTTACAGATACAGATGTTTATAAAATGGTACTTTTTAATTCAGTCTCTCCATACCTAGCTGATAGTCACTTTATTGCTGCTTTCCAACACCCTGTAAACTGCAATGCTAACACAGATGCTTATCTACATCTTCCCTTCTAAAGGCATAGGGCACTCAACTTGCAGATGTGTCATTTAAAATGACAGTTTTTTCCCCAACCACTTCCTTCATTAAAAAAACCCTACTGACATATTACCTTGACCTTTGACTTGCCAGTTTATAAATTTTATATATCATCCACCCAAAGAATAAGGACATCGCCTTCATTACCCACCTGTTTATTTTTTTACTAGCCCTGAAACTGTCTCTCTGAAGACATCTCCACTGCTTCAAACTTGCATTTGTTAAACTGATCTTTAAAAAAATCTATTTAAACTATTTCAAGTGGGCCTGAATTTAGACAGGGTTAGCCAGAGTTATGGAGCCATTCCCATTTTATCAAGTGTTCTAAAATCATATTTAGTAGTTTAAACAGTTTGGCCTGGTTCATATGGGTTAGCCATATTACGTCTAAAACATTTTTTATAATATGTTTAAAACATGTTAAAAACTGGTTGAACCAAACTGTTTGAATCCAGTGTATACAGTGCCTGGATGCGGAACTGCTACAAGGGCTATCTAGTTAGAACTCTGACAATGCAGGCCAACACTGCTGTTGAATTCTACCAGGTCACATTCTCTGGAAGAAAGCTATTTGTTTCCACTTATATCATCTTCAGTCATTGCCCAAACTTACCGAGTTGATGTCTATGCCCATGGAAGGTTGGGTCTGGCTGCCTGGAGGTGACTGTGGGATGGTCGATGGTACTGTGACTGAGAGGGGGGGAAGCTGTGCTCCTCGCTGTAAGCCAGAAGTCTGCATTAAAGGGGCATTCTGAGGCAGACTACTTGCCACTTGGGTCTGTTGCTGTTGCTGGGAACTAGCCTGGGTAAAAAACTGATACGGTGGAAGCTGCTGTTCCAAAGACAATGCATCCATAGCCACAGCCTTAAAGAGAAAACAGGAAAATGTACTATGCAGAGCTCTGGTTCAACTCCAAGACTCCTAAAATTTCACACCAAGTGAATATTCATATATATCTAAGCGTTATATATCACATAAGCAATCTGGAAAGTTATGAGAGATCTTGCATTTAAGAAAACAACAACTTACATTTAAACCTTCAAAGATGTGGCTTAAAGGGACTAATTTGACATTTTATTTGTTGTAAATAAATAAAAAGTGTGTTTGCAAACCTAGCTGAATGTTTGATTTGAAAGCTGACAAGTCAGTCAGTCAAGGAAAACCCATCTACTAAGTCCCTGTTCTGAGCCCCTCAAGAACCAAACTAGAGCATGCCAGGTATGGCAGAGGCAGCCTACAGGTGCATCAAAGGGTCAAAAATCCTAAGAGCCAAAGGAGTTTCTCACGATTCACATGGAAGCATGAAACACAAGAGAATCTTGTGATGGTATCTTTAAAGAAAGAGGTTTTCCTTAGTGCTTCCAAGGCCTTGGAAGACAAAGTGAAATCTGTTTCCTTAAACTGTCTTCTCCACTGTCTGACAGTATATGTGAATTTATCTTGGTAGAATTGCTCAGATCTGGCTGTTGGCTTTGATTTAAATTAAAAAAAAAAAACGGCCCAAAGCATTTATTTATAAAAAGGAACATGACAACATTAACTTTACAAACATACCTAAAGGAGAAAATTATTAAATTAATGACACGACTACAGGTTTATCAACCTTACAGCTAACATTTCCCTATGTGAATGAAGACAGAAACAGACAGCTATGATCTGAAACTTTACAAAATGGAACAAGGTTCATTATTCTTATAAAATGTAGTCCTTCTCCAGATCTCCACGCAGCCTCCTACCTGAGTAATTGGCGACAGAGGTGAGAGCGTAGGAGACATCTGTTGGGACTGTGGTCGTCTGGAGTCTGCATTCAGTGAGAGGGGACTGACAGCTGGCTGCCGGGATGAGGCTTGCGTCGTTGTCATTCCTGCCATTAATGGAAGAAACCAGTTTACGCAGGAACTGTGGTGATGCTTGTTTACATTTAACAATTTGTTTATATGAAGTAAAATTATGATGAATAAATGGCTGAATTTTACAAAACTTTACAGTAAAGTGTTGAATATGGCTAGGCCAATATTCTATGCTGAATGCAGCATCAGGCTTAAATTCTTAGCAAATCTGTAATGGATTTTGTGACAGTGAAAATGCCACGATGGAGAGAAGATTCTTGCAAGCATCTTTGCTGATCACTCCTGTTAATGTATAAATAGATACTGCCATTCAATTAGCCCAGTGGTTGTCAAACTGGCATGCAGAACCTTTCTTGATGCTTCATAGAATGAAACATTTTGAGAACTGGGCAGTGCAGTCTGTGGTGCAGGGAACAGGAAGGGGGTCTGCAAGACTATCCCTTCTAACAAAGTGGCCCACAGACTGAAAATCAGAACCACCAACCTATCCCAAAGGCCATGAGACCCACTGGAAACTTCCAAGGGCAAATGAAGTCAGGTCATTTTATAAAAAAATAATACAAGCAGGGCCATAATTTTGTTTCCTGGAATGATGGGGAAGGCTGTTATCTGTGTTCATCTCATAGTCCTGAGCCACTTCTTATTTCCCCTACTAATATCCTGCACTTTCAAGACCCTGAATTGTGGCTACCATTGTTCCATGCCAAATGGACTCCCTCTGGCTGCAGGCAACCCTATTTATTAATACTTACCCTGCTATGACACCCTTCATTCACAGATCTCAAGTGCTGTACAGACATTAATTAAGCCTTACACAGACTCCGGAAACCACATAGGGGGCCCACATCCGTAAACAATCTCAGGTGTTCATATACTACAAGGAGGACCATACAAAGCATCTAGGCAGAAAGTACCTGTTTGACGAATCAGTGATGAATGGTTGCATTGTGGGAGAGTTTTTCTTGTTACTGGAATAAGAGGTCAGATTTATTGATGAGGGAGGTTTCAATGCTCAGCACAGAACACTCTACAACAGTTACTAGGGATATTCCTGCCCCTACTTAGTTTGCACAGCATCAGCACTTTTCATCAGGGGCTCTCTAAGCACTGCGTTAACTAACCCTCGCAACATCCCCGTGGCATAGATATTAATATGCCCACTTTACAGTTGGGTAAGTTGAATGCACAGAGATTAAATGACTTTCCCCGAAGTCAATGAGCAAGAAAATGGCAGAGCTGAAAATAGAAACGGTCAATCCCAACCCCACCATCTCCTCCTCTGACCACTAAATGAAACTTCTTCCACCCACTAGAAGTGCTGCTGTTAAATTGCTGTTAAATGAGATACTTTCTCATTCCTCAAGCTCTCATGGCTGAAGATAAAGCAAGCAACCTTAGGATGAAAGACTGCAAAGTTGCTGTAATTTACTAACTCTTTCTGTAGTGAAGGAGCAAGTCCATGTTTCTGTGAGTAGTCATGACTGAGGTACCAGTGAGAGACAAGGACAACACAGAATCTAACACCAAAACTTTTGCCACAGTTTGAATAGTGCTTCTGGCTCTCATTCATGTGACAAGTTTGAACAACCCAACAGCTCCAGACGGTGTATCAGAGTTGCAGAAACTTGGACCAGAAAGACAAGGAAACAAGTTACTCAGGCCTGGCTTACACTAGAAAATGAGGTCACTAACTACATTCACCCGGTGGTGTGAAAAATCCACACTCCCAATGGGTCTTGTTAAGCCGACCTAAATCCCCATGTAGACAGTGCTACATCGGTGGAAGAATTCTAGCTACTGCCTCACGGAGAGGTGGATTTCTGTGGTGTAGGTAGTGTCTACACTGAAGCGCTACAGCAGTGCAACTGTGCTGCTGAAGTGTTAAGCGTAGACAAGCCCTGAGTCTTGTGCTTTCGTTCTGCCCTTCCCCGCTCCCAGTGTTATATACTAGAGGGTAGTACATTGAACAGGTAATTCCACCTCCCACCCCACATTGTCCTTATGCCACAGAATCCTGAACAGCGCTTCTGCCCACTGTATTCACCAGTCCTATTCCAGCTGCATTTGAAAGGAGATAAATGGTTTACTGGCAGGCAAAGAACAAGGGCAAAGCAAGAACAGATTCATTTCTAAGTGTAACAGATTTGTTCACATGTGTAGATGAATAGGACACACAAATAGTTTTCATTACAATAAACTAAACAGCATTAAATATGAATTCCCCACAAAAGCAACCAATCTCAACAGGTAACATCTGTCAAGGTTCTGCATTCACTCTGACCTGCATTGCCTATTATTAACTTCAGCTCAGCCTTGAAAAACTGGGATAAAGGCAGCACTCATAGAAACACTATGTTGCTAATGCAAAAGGTGATTTCAATTCTTAATTATGACAAAGTGCTCTCTGTACCCACTGGAGGCTGATGCAAGAAGCAACACTACAGAGATTGTCAGAGCCTTTGACATAGAGTTTCCATCTTCACACCAAAGCAACTGAACTTAATTTTAGGCATTATGTTATGGAACAAGGAGAGGACAGTCCATTCAATACAGCTCTGAGTCTGCTTCCTGGACAACAGGTTAGTTTTTGTGCATCTCAACATCAGAGAGCTACTGACAAGCTGGATGGAATATAGGCTATGTCTACACTACAAAATTAGGTCAAATTTATAGAAGTCAGTTTTGTAGAAAGCATATTTATACAGTCGATTGTGTATGTCCCCACACAAATGCTCTAAGTGCATATGGTCGGCATTTAGTCTGCGGAGTGCATCCACAGTACCGAGGCAACCATCGACTTCCGGAGCATTGCACTGTGAGTAGCTATCCCACAGTTCCCGCAGTCTCTGCTGCCCATTTGAATTCTGGGTAGAAATCCCAATGCCTGATGGGGCAAAAACATTGTTGCAGGTGGTTCTCGGTACATATTGTCAGGCACCCCCTTCCCTCCCTCCCTCCGTGAAAGCAAGGGCAGACAATCGTTTCGCACCTTTTTTCCTGGGTTACCTGTGCAGACGCCATACCACGGCAAGCATGGAGCCCGCTCAGCTCACCATCACCATGTGTCTCCTGGGTGTTGGCAGACGTGGTACTGCATTGCTACACAGCAGCAGCTCATTGCCTTTTGGCAACAGATAGTGCAGTATGACTGGTAGCCATCGTTGCTGTACTCCAGGGTGCTCTTTTAGCCAACCTCGGTGAGGTCAGTCAGGGGCACCTGGGCAAAAGTGGGAGTGACTCAGCCAGGTCATTTCCCTTTTAAGTTTTGTCTCATGGCGATTCAGTCCTGCCGGCAGTCCTACTGCACCGTATTCTGCCGAGCACCCAGGAGATGACGATGGCCAGCAGTTGTACTGCACCGTCTGCTGCCAGCAAGATGTATAAAGATAGATGAAGTGGATCAAAACAGGAAATAGACCAGATTTGTTTTGTATTAATTTTCTCCTCCCTCCCTCAGTGAAATCAATGGCCTGCTAAACCCAAGGTTTTGAGTTCTATCCTTGAGGGGGCCATTCTGTTTCTCCTTGATGCAAAGCCACCCACTTTGTTGATTTTAATTCCCTGTAAGCCAACCCTGTAAGCCATATTGTCAGTCGCCCCTCCCCCCCGTTAGAGCAATGGCAGACAATCATTTTGCGCCTTTTTTCAGTGAAGGCGCCATAGCACTGGGAACATGGAGCCCACTCAGATCACCACGGCAATTATGAGCGCTATAAACACCACGCATGTTATCCAGCAGGATATGCAGAACCCTAACCTGCAAGAAAAGCGAAACCAGGCGAGGAGGAGGCAACTGCAACACGGGGACGAGACTGAGGAGGACATGGACACAGACTTCTCACAAAGTATGGGCCACTGCAATGTGCACATCATGGTGTCAATTTGACAGGTTCATGGGGTGGAACACCGTTTCTGGGGCAGGGAAACAAACAGACTGGTGGGACAGCATAGTGTTGCGGGTCTCGGACGATTCCCAGTGGCTGCGAAACTTTTGCATGCATAAGGGCACTTTCATGGAACTTTGTGACTTGCTTTCCCCTGCCCTGAAGTTCAAGAATACCAAGATGAGAGCAGCCCTCACAGTTAAGAGGCGAGTGGAGATAGCCCTGTGGAAGCTTGCAACCCCAAACAGCTACTGGTCAGTTGGGAATCAATTTGGAGTGGGCAAATCTACTGTTGGGGCTGCTGTGATGCAAGTAGCCAACGCTATCACTGAGCTGCTGATATCGAGGGTAGTGACTCTGGGAAATGTGCAGGTCATAGTGGACGGCTTTGCTGCAATTGGATTCCCTAACTGTGGTGGGGCCATAGATGGAACCCATATCCCTATCTTGGCACCAGAGCACCAAGCCGGCGAGTACATAAACCGCAAAAGTTACTTTTCAATAGTGCTGCAAGCTCTGGTGGATCACAAGGGATGTTTCACCAACATCAACGTGGGATGGCCGGGAAAGGTACATGACGCTCGCATTTTCAGGAACTCTGGTCTGTTTCAACAGCTGCGGCAAGGGGCTTACTTTCCAGACCAGAAAATAACTGTTGGAGATGCTGAAATGCCTACAGTTATCCTTGGGGACCCAGCCTACCCCTTAATGCCATGGCTCATGAAGCCATGCCCAAGAACCCTGGACAGTAATCAGGAGCTGTTCAACTATAGGCTGAGCAAGTGCAGAATGGTGGTAGAATGTGCATTTGGGCGTTTAAAAGCACACTGGCACAGTTTACTGACTCGGTTAGACCTCAGCAAAACCAATATTCCCATTGTTATTACTGCTTGCTGTGCTCGCCACAATATCTGTGAGAGTAAGAGGGAAGACGTTTATGGCGGGGTGGGAGGTTGAGGCAAATAGCCTGGCTGCTGATTACGTGCAGCCAGACACCAGGGTGGTTAGAAGAGCACAGGAGGGCGCGGTGCGCATTAGAGAAGCTTTGAAAACCAGTTTCAGGAATGGCCAGTCTATGGTGTGAAAGTTCTGTTTGTTTCTCCTTGATGGACTGCTTGCCTGGTTCACTC